CGAGCCCGCGCGGGCGGGGCTTATCCGTGGGTTCGCGGCCGCGTTCTCCGGGTGTCTTGGGTCGGCCTTGCCGGGGAGTTCCCTCCGCTGGGAATGCTGGACGTTAAGGAGAGCGCCTGGTGCTCCGACGCGCGAGACCTGGGCAGGTTGCCGGGCCTCTGTGAGCGTTCCGAGCTTTGTGACCGCCTCCGAGCCGTGATGCGGTACCCGCTCCTGCAGGCCGTGACCGCGGGCCGCCCCGGCCCTCTTGGGTGGTCTCATCAGGTCGTTCCTTGTCTTCACCCCACGGAGCCTGGTATATTGCTTTCCCATTTACAGACGAAGACCTGGAGAGTGACAGGCATGCGTGACTTGCTTCTGATCACCCAGTGGCGAAGGAGAAGCAGTTTCTTAATCACGGGGTCAGAATAACAGAAGCAAATGTTTCGTGGCTCGGATTTCAGCCTTCAAAGAAGCAGAACAGGCCAGGGATGAGGCGATAGCTGGTTCTCGGGCCTGCGTGAAGCAGCAGACGGCCCTGAGCAGTAGGTAGGGGCGTAGAGCATGTGCTCTCAGCGGTGATGGGGCACACTGAACGCGGCCCGCCACGCGGCTTTTGTGCAGAAAGTTTCCGTGGAAATACGGCTGCTTTTGTTTCTTGGCATTGTCTGGTTACTTCGGGAACAGGACCGAGAGAGAGGAAGTGGGTGAAGTTAGTTGTGCTATGTGCATGTGTGTACCCCCCCATAATGTAATCATTGTGTACTGCAAACATACTAATAAAAATAAAACTTTTCAAAGAAAGTTGTCTGCAAATTGTGAAATATTTATTCTGGCCCTTTACAGAAAGATTTTGCTGATCTCTGCTGTCTTTTCTGATCATTATGGTAGAAGTAAGTAGATGAGGAAAAAAATTATACATTTTCAGGAATGAGAAAGAAAACATTGCCAGGTGTGGTGTCGCATACCTGTAATCCCAGCGCTCAAGAGGCTGAGGCAGGAGGATCGTTGGGAGTTCGAGACCAGCCTGGGCTACAGAGTGAGCTCAAGGCCATCCTGAACTGCATAGCGAGACCCTGTCTCAGAAAGAGTAAAACTCAACCTACAATAGATGATATGAAAGGGAAAGAAATTGCTCAAAGTAAGGAAAAATTGGGTTGAGGGAAAGAAGAAAAAAGAAGGAAGGCAAAATTGTATATATATTATAATTATATATATTATCCATGTATAGGGATAGCTGGGATAATTGTACTGCTGATATCTGATGCTATATTGAAAGGAACAGTTAATGCTTAAAATTTTTTATATTCTGACCAATTTTGCATCTGGTAATCTGAGCAACTGATTTGAAGACAATACACCATGGAACAGCCATTGGTGAATTCCTACCATCTTGTCTAGTGAAACTCTGTACTATCTCTAATGTTTTATTTAATGATTTTTAAAAATTCCCTAATGGTTTGAACAGTCTTCCATTCTTACATCTTGTAATCTGAGCAACATAGTTGGAGATAACAATAGGTAATATAACAACCACTGTTAATTCCTATCATTTTGTTTTGAAACCCTATATCACTTTTAACGTTCTTGCTATGTTTTGTTTATGTCTGTGATGTTGATATGTTGCTATTGTTCTTTTTTTTTTTTTTTAACTACTCTCTAAAAAAGAAAAGGCAAAAAGAAAAAGAAAACCCTGTAGGACTGGGGGTGCAGCTCAGTGGTACAGGGCACAGCGTGTGCCAGGGTCTGGATTTTAGCCCTACAGCTGCAAAAAAAACCAAAAAAGCACCCAGAACATAACAATACCCCCCCCACACACACAGAGAGAGAAATCCTAATACTTGTGTTTTGTGTATATATTTTTGAGCTGCATGGTAGGCCTATGAAGCTTGAGAGAGCGCGAGTTTGCTCCTTAAGTGATTCTTGTTTTGTTACTTGTTTTGGGGTGAAATCCATGGCTGCACAAATGCCGGGCCAGGCTGTAGCACGGACAACCCCAGCCCTTACAAGTGATTCTTTAGACAAGTCCCACATGTATGGAGAGTCCCTGGAGTAGGTAGAAGGGAGCTCCGTCCTGCATGCCGGGGGTGGAAGGGGCTCTTGAAAGCTGCAGAAGGACAGCATGTTGAGCACCCTGGCTCGCTTTATCCGTGGTTCCTGCAGGAGTTGCTACTAAGCTGTCGCAGTCCTCACAGACCGTTAACTTGTAGTTGTGACAGAATACCCAAGCCGAGCCATCTAAAGGGCAAGGTTTGTTTTGGCTGACAGCTTCCTAGGCTTCAGTCCGCAGTCAGCCGGCCTCATTGCTTTTAGGCCTGTGGTGAGGTGGAACGCTGCTGCTGCTGCTGCTGCGGAAGGGTGTGTGGTGGAGGAGGACTGCTCGCCTCGTGGCGGCCAGGAAGCGGAGACCCAGAGGAGGGGGCCGGGAAAGAGGTGCAGTGCCCAAGGGGGCGTGCCCGTGACCCACTCCGCTAACTAAGCCCCGCCTCTGAGGTCCCGTCCGCTCCCAGAGCTGCCATCAGATTAGGGATTCATCCGTGGATAAAGCCTCTGCTGAGGTCAGAGTTCTCCCCATCCAACCACCAAACACTGTAACAGGGCCGTGCTGGGGACCAAACCTTCCACATGCGAGCCGTTGCGGGTGTATTGTAGACTTCTCTGACCAAAGGAGCAAGGGGAGAGGAGATCCTAGGCTTCCTGTGTGCCTGGTCTTTAAGAAGTGCACGATAAGGCACCCTGCCCGTGTGCTAAGGCGAGGATGTGGAAAGGTGCTGAGACTGCATGGAGAGGCTCCAGCTGCGTTCAGCTCTACCAGCCAGGTAAGGGGATGGCTCTGCCTTGGGTGCTCCGCGCCAGCTGGGCTGGCGCCCAAATTCCGGGCGGCTGCATTGAGTGCCATGGAGCAGAGGCATCGCTCAGCCAAGACGTTCCCAAATTTCTGACCCATGCAAGTATAATTACTAAGGTCCTAGGCGTTCACTTCTGCCCTCTGGAGTCGAACCTAGGGCTTCATGCTTGCTAGCCAGGTGCTTTACCGCTGACTTACATCTCCAGTCCTGGAAAGTTGCAGTTTTCTTTTTTTGTACATGGGGTCTCATGATGTAGCTCAGGCTAGCTTTGAACTCACAATGTAGTCCACGCTGGCCTTGAACTCTCCCAGCCTCTGAGCGTTGGGAATACAGGCATGTGCCACCCTGAGTGGCTGAGGTTGCAATTTTAAGCCATAACTTTTGGATTAGTTCCTTACTGGTAGCTAAGTCAGTTTAGGTATATGGTTGAGATATGGAGAAAGGATTGTTCTGTGTCTGTTCGGTGTTATAATGAGCGTTCCCTAACCAGTCTGCCTGAGTGTCATTTGAAGTTCTACTGGGATGTCACTTCAACTTTTTGGATTTTTTGTTTTTTAGATGAGGACCGAACCCAGGGCTTCCAGCTTGCTAGACAAGGGTTCTACCACTGACCTAAATCTCCACCTGCAATGTCACTTTAACTTAATGAGTGCTTGGGCTCACTACTAAGTTAGATATTAATTTATAGATTCATAAGTCACACAGTATTTGTCCAGAGGAGGTGATTTTCTTTTGGTGAAAAAGATAATCTCAAAGGGGATAGTTATGTTACACTGCAGAACAATAACCAGCATTGCATTTAAGTCCTAAGTATTACCACATAAAGCATTTTAGTTCATATTCTCTCTCTCTTTTTTTTTTAGGTACCAGGAATCGAACTCAGGACCTTGTGCTTGCCATGCAGGCACGTGTGCTGCTGAGCTATATCCCCAGCCCTAGTTTGTATTCTCCCTGAATCAGATTTCCCATCTTTTTTCACTAGTGAAATAACTAAATATTTGATAGATGCTTGTAAAGTGTTTGAGAGAAAATCATGTTTTTAGTTCTTTGGAAACTGTATTTCGGACAACTATGATGTACATCAAACATTTTCACAGGCTATTGATTCAATGCATATCTAAGAATCTATTATGTACAAGATTGAGAATCTGTTGTGGATGGAAAAGGGCATGAGCTAGGGTGGGCAGTTTGCGAGGCATGCACGGCGTCCTGATCTGCGGTATTTTAGGGTCCGATTACTGCTGAACCAGTCACCACAAACAGCGGCTGGAAGCATCACAGATGTGCTCTATGTTAGTTCTAGAGATCAGAAGTCTAAAATGGGTTGCAGCACCGCATTCCTTCTGAGCCCCTAGAGAGGAGCTTTGCTTTTTTCCTGAGACTTTTTTCTCTTCCCTTCCTTCCTTCCTCCCACCCCTCCCTCCCTTCATGCCTTCCTTCCCTTTTTTTTTTTTTTTGGTTTTTTTTTTTTGTCTATTTGAGACAGGGTCTCATTATGCAGTTTAGCTTCTAAAGGCTATTTACATCCCTGTGTCTCCATTCTCCACCCCTAAGCCACCAGCACACGTCCTGCAAACTCCTTCCACAGCCCCCCTCCTCCTGATAACCCTGTGTGTACTTGGTACGGGAGGGTGATCCTCTCATCTCAGGATCCTTAGTTTAATTCCATCTTCAAAATCCCTTTTGCCAAGTGCAGTGATACACTGTATGCACAGATTAGGGGAGTTGGGATGTGGGTATCTTTGGGGAGCTACCACATATGAGTTATTGGGGTACTCGGCATGAGTTTTGGTAGCATAATAAGAAAACATTTTAAAGTCCCAGTATTTGTTTATGTGCCACTTAAAAATGGAAAGTCGAGGATGTCACGAGATAAATTACGAGTGACAGCAGCGGTGTGAGCCCTGGGTCTGCAGAGGAGGCAGCCCAGGCCTTCAGTAGGCGAGCTGTGGGGACAGCCCTCTCGCGTCACCGTGTGCTCAGCTGTCGTGTGGAGGTAAGGAGTACAGCGCTTTGCCGGGGTAGATCGTGGCGTCAGAAGATAGAAGTAAAAGGCCAGTTTGCACACTTTTCTATTACTGAACCTGCAAAGGAAGGGGACGTTTTCAGTGCTTGAATTCTGTGAGAGTCCATGGCAGGGAACGGGCCTAGGGAACAACCCAGAAAAAAAGGCCACGGTCGGTCCGCTCCTCCTTGGCCTGTCCCACTGAGAGTAAGTGACGAAGGACAGAAACTACACACTTCTCATTCCGCGTTCCATTCTTACCACTTTGGCACTGCCTGGTAATGGTGCCAGCATTTTTGAGTTGTTCTGTTCAGTATATGACACAGAATGGCAACAAAGAAATCACTACTTGTTGACAGCAAATCCCATTGCACTCACTCCACCGGCTCACCGAGGCCGTCCTGGAGTCACCGTTCGCGTTTCCTTGCTTTGCCCTCTTGTGTCTTCAGAATAGAGTCAGCCCGGCAGAGCGCTACACACAATGTGAGCTTGTCCCTTCCACTGGCAGCACGGGCAGACGCTGCTGAGGAGACGGGCTGGGGCAGGGAAACCAAGGCGGGTCAAGGAGAAAGGGAACCACAGAGAATTACTGTCAGAACAGCACCTTGGCCTAAGGCCTGCGGGAGTGCGTCTGTGGCATCCTCAGCCTCCTGTGCTCCCGCTTACCTAAGTGGGGGGTGCAGTTTAGGTTCCAGTTTCTGGCCTTTCCTTGGGGCACCTGGGTGAAGTGCAGGGATTCCTCGTGTGGGGGGCTGGACTCAGTGTCCTTTGGGCGACCTTAGCAGAAGGGGGAGAGACTGACTCCACAGAGTGGAAACTTGCCAAAATTCCGGGATCACTGTTGATTTGTACAGTCCCGAGGTGCTGTACAAACAGTGTAGAAGCTCAGTGTAAACTACAAGGGCGTTTAAGAATTTTGGCGGGATGGGGGCGCAGCTGAGG